TTTTTTGAGACAGTTTTGCTCTTATTGCCCTGGCTCGAGCGCAGTGGCATGATTTCAGCTCACCGCAACCTCCGCCTCCCGGGTTCAAGCGATTCTCCTGCCTCAGCCTCCCAAATAGCTTGGATTACAGGCGCCTGCCACCATGCCTGGCTAATTTTTGTATTTTTAGTAGAGACAGTGTTTCTCCAAGTTGGTCAAGTTGGTCTTGAACTCCTGACCTAAGGTGATCCGCCCGCCTCGGCCTCCCAAAGTGCTAGGATTACAGGCGTGAGCCACCACGCCTGGCCAAGCCTTCTAATTTTTGGACTAGATTCTGTGCCCTAACTTTGCCTCATTTTAGACCTGGGATAAGACACGTTTAGTACATGCCTAGACAGGACAAACCACTCCGAGGCCACACAGTGGCCAGTTACACCTCTTCCCTCAATAACTATCGCACAAAGCTAAGGCCACCATTGCTTTTATTTATTGCTTTGCGTGGAGACAAAGTACGAGCTCCGGATGTGCTGGGAGCGCTCCATTAATTAGAGCTCTTTTTGGGGGCGGAGCTCTAGGAAAAGAAGACGACCCTGCCAGGGAGATTTTTCATTGGCCAGAACCCAGAGGATGGAGGCCATTGGTTGGAACTCTGGTTGAAACTGGAAGTCTGAGAAGGGTGGAGAGAGCCCCCAGAAGGCAGAACCATCACAGGGTGGGATTCCAGGAAAGGGGGCGGGGCAAGGAGTGAGGGGGCGGGCCTCCGGTGGGCCAGGCCCTCCCATTGGCTGGGTTCCAGCAGTCGGTGGCGGGTTGGCAGGGCGCCTACTTCTGGGCGGGGATCATGTCGTCGATGGACTGGCCTTTCTCCAGCTTCTTCTCCATCTCCACCATGAGCTTCACACCATCCACCACCAGCTGCACCTGTTCTACTTCGGACGAGCCCAGCCGATCAGCGTTGGACACGTCGAATACTGAGCCCACGGCAGCTGTGTCCACGCCACCTGTGGGAGCAAGGGACAGGGGCATGAGGAGACAGCAAAGGTTGCAGAGGGACTGGGATGTGGTGGTCCCCGTGCCAAATGCAACAGCTGCATGCGTTGAGTGGCTACTGTGTAACAGGTTACCTGCACACAGGTAATGCCTGTCTAGTCGTGGGCTTACGAGTCTCTGTATTTAGATAAGGTAACACACCACTCAGTTATCCAACATGAAAATATAGTGTAGTGGGTAAGAAAGTGGGTTCCAGAGCCAGGCGGCCTGGGATCGAATCCTGACCCCTCCTCGCGTTATAAATGGGGAAACTGAGGCCTCGAGAGGTGCAAGGCATATGCAATGCATATTATATAATCATGAAAATCCCTCATTGACTCCTAGGACATGGGCGTGTTGATGCCCATTTTACGAGGAAGAAATGCAGGCTCACAGACGGTCAGCCCTTGCCGGATACCCAGAACTCATGGGGCTATCCAGCCTCCCTTTCCACTCCCGCAAAGGGCCCGCCCCACCCGTCGTGGTGCGGGAATGTGGGAACCGCACCTGTGCCCCTCTTCTGCAGGCGCAGGCGGGTGAGGATCTCCTCGAACTTGGGATGCTTGCTCAGGTGCGCCAGCTTCACATGCACGCCTCCACGCAGCCCGGTGCCCAGGTTGGATGGGCAGGTGAGCACGTAGCCCAGGTGCTGGTTCCACATGAAGGGGTGGCCGGCTTTCTTAAAGATCTCCTCGATCTGAGGTTGGGGGAGAGGACCAGGGATCAGCGCCAGCACGCACCTCCAAATGCACCCGCCACATGGACAGGGTCCGGACACGCGTGGGAACGTGGATGGAGATGGGATTCGGAGGGAACCAGGACGTAGGAAATTCCGAGGATACTGGCTAGACAATGGTGACTAAGGCAAGATTTTGAGGAGGCAGGGACTAAGAACGATTTAAAGGTGGGTTTCTTTCTTTTTTTTTTTTTTTTTT